TCTGTCTAGCTTTTATATAGCTGCACTACTTAAAGGCGTAAGCTAAACTCAGGGTTTCTTTAAGACTTACGGCCTTGCTGCATAGAAACTGCACGCTAACATGAACACTTTCAGTTATATCGTAATTTACATTTCTAAAACTTTTTTATTATTCTCGTCATAAATAATTTTATTGTTTTACTATCTTTTTAAAAATTTTATATTACTGTGATTTACGTGTTAACTATCACATATTTCCTTCCTTCCCTTTTTTCTAGCACAGACTTTTCCGGATCAGGTTGACTCTTGTCTAATATAGTCAAATATTGAAGACAATTTAATCCTTTTATAGTTTGTAATAGATGAATCTACTAGTCACACGCAGTTTTTTGAAGTTTTCTTCATATGCATAACACTAAAATAGTGGCCAATTACTCATAGAAAGTCCACTCGGGATGAGTGCTCATATTGAGATGACATGAAACCAAATTTACTGCATTATCTAGAAGGACAGAATTTAATTTTACTAAAAATAAATTACTTCCGATAAAGAAATGAACTTATTTTTGATCCAGGTAATTGAAAGGCAATTATAATCATTATTTTAAGCATTGTATTTCACTTCGATTTTGATTCAAGACCTGTGAAAGACTGTTATATATAACAGATTTTTTCCCTTTAGTATTGCAACTATTTTATTATTTTGTAACAGAATTTAAGATAATATTATTTTCTAATAACCTATAAGCAGTAATTTTAATTGTTAGTAGTAAGTAAGTTGAATTTTTTCAAACAAACATCTGAGTTGTAAAAAATTATGACAATTTACAAAACAATGAAATTTTTAAATTTTTTTCTTCAGTAACAATAAATACTCAAAACATTTTTATTACTGTTACCTATATTTAACTTTAAAGTGAAATACAGTCGACCCCCCTATAACACTGTTGATTTTTCCGTTTTATATGAATTTCATGTTGTACGAGTCACTTGAATTTTACAAATACGTGAGCCGTTCACAGCCCGGCACACGTATCTGTAAAATCTAAGTGACTCGTACAACATGGAATTCATATAAAACAGAAAATCCAACAGTGTTATAGGGGGAAAACTTGTATAACAGTGTATAGGAAACTTTACGCAGTGACACTATATTTTAGTTTTTATGTGACTCAATTCAGTTTTCAAGCAAACCTATTTGTAAAACTTATTTATTATTTGTGTATAATCTTGGGTTAACTTTCAGTTGAAAAAGTCCTGAATACAGTTTTTCTATATTTTGCTGAAAATTTCGGGACTATATTTATTTCTTACATTTTCATCAGTATACATTCTATTTTACGGTTACCAGAGCAATTTTATCTAATAGAGACTTGTGTTAAATACAATAAACATCTAAGATTTCACTGTACAAGATTTAAGTAAGCTTATACACTACAATTCGCTATTATATGTATCAAACTATTATTGAAAATATATCCGAAATTTTTTTCAGTTCGATCTTTAATATTTTTCATTAAGAAAATCTCTGTTTTTATTACAGTAATAACGTAAAAAATATATAGACAGGCATTTATTTATACTTCTTCGAATTAATCCAAACGAGTACCAAACAGACAATTTTTAACATAAAAATAAAGGAGAGAAATCGACGTGTCAAAAAACTGGATGCTTTCTTGCTGTACATTTATGAGAAACTAACCCATATTTATAGTGTTATACAGGTGAAGAAAACAATGAAAATTCAACACTGAGAGTTTGTTAAGAGAGTAACAATCATCATATAGTTAATGTTTTAGTTATGAATATAACAAATACAATAAATTAGCATAATCAATATTTGTTTATACGATAAATTTAAGTATAAAATATGTTTTAGATACGGCTATATCTCTTACAAATATTTGAAACATTTGATATGTATATTTTTTTATTTCAGTTAATCAACTACGTTATCATCCAGACAGCTGTAATCGTACAACTCGGTTATACGTTTAGAAATTAGTATACTGTACTAATTATTAGATAATTTTAATGTACTTTTACTTGAAATATACAATTTACAGTAGTGTATTTTTATATGTAAAGATTTAAAGTAATTTGTAGTTTCTTGAATAAAGTAGACAATAATGATTTTTAACTCATTAAATAAACGGTTTATATTGTAGAAAATGGAAATTCAAAAACAACTTACAAATTATTACAAATAGTAATAATCCATTGTGTGCACAATTGAAATCTATTCAAACAATTACAATATTGCACCGTTATCTGAATATAATGCTAAACTAAAATATAATAGAGCATCGATTATCCGACTCAATTGGGGACTGGGGTTGGTCAAATAATTGAAAAGTCGGATAACCAAAAAGTATGAAAAAATCTATTATTAGTATAGTATATTATTATATCCCATGTAATTAGTATATTAGTATATCGCTATTAATCTACTTTGCGTTGAATTTTCCTGCATGTTAGGCCTATCAAATTTTTTTTTAAAATAATAATCGTCGCTATTGTATCGTTAAAAATTAGAAAATTAAGCTTCGTTTAAATACTGGCTTTTCATGGTCGATCCAGTGTTGCCAGCTAAAACACGTAAAAATAATATTAAAGTAGCCAAGACATAGCCAAATATTGTAGTGTCACATCACTAGCGGACATTTGAATTTGCTGACTAGAATGCGGTCGGTTAACCGAGGTGACGATTAATCGGGGGTCGGATAATCGATGCTCCACTGCACTTCAAAAACGTCTGTTCATTTATTAGTACTATAAGTTTGATATACTTTGGATTACAAATTTCTATGGCAAAATATAATGTACAATACAAGATAGTTTGCATCAGAGGTGTACGTACACTTCGTCAGGGTCTACTGTCCTACATGTGTGCAAAGCTAGTCAGAAATTTCTTCNAACCGTAGCATTCGATCCTTTTTTTACGTTATAACGATGTTCTTTTAGTCTTACTCCTAAGCTCCTGTTGGTGACGCCGATGTAGTCTTTCTTAACATCCAGTTGGATGTTCTCATAAGGAACTTTATAGACCCCTAGTTTTTCTTCTGTTTTTTATTCTATCCTTATCATTCCTCAATATTTTATATAAATTTGGGGCTCTCTTTAAAACCATTCTTACTTGTTTCCTATTAGCGACTTCATTCATAATACTGTTCAAATTACTGTTATATGTAAACTTCAAGCGTCTATTGGGAGCGGTATTTCAGCTTTTTCTCTCTTTGTTCCTTTCATATTTTTTGAGTAAACCTACAATGGTGCTCTTCTTGTAACCTAGGGTCTTTGCTACTTGCAATATTCTGTCAATTTCTTTATTCCAGTCACCGATCTAAAACACATTTTCGGAAATAGTAATATAACGAGTGATCGCTGAGTTTGTCGACTAAAATACTTCTATTAATTCCCCTTCATTCCGATTGACGAGAAAACTCGTCAAGTTTACATAGCGTTATGAAAAACGCGGTCGACTTAAAAAAAATTTTTTTTTATTTTTGGAATGATTTTAAGTCTCCAAGTTTCTTCAAAATTTTTACCGGCACAAAAAAATTTTATCGCGATTTTAAATTATCTTTAATGACTCACGATTAACGCTTAATTGTTTTTAATGCGATTTTTTTATCAAATTTAATTAATCGTTCTAAAGTTGTAGTGCACGGGTTTGACTTCAGTAAAGTTATTTAAAGCTACTTTCTGATGTCAAAAACGACCCTCAATAGTTTTTTAATTTTTTCAATTAATAGATTTTATTATATATAAGTTTAATTAAGTCGGTGGTTCGTAAATCGCAATAAAAATTTTAATTTTTTAAAAATATTTAAAAATATAGGTCTAGCTAGTATTCACCCTACTTTAAACCCTTCTCCTCCCGAGACGTCTATGAGAATGTCCCGGGAAATACCACACCAGCTGTTTTCAATGTCATCCAGCTGTGTAAACAATGACTCATTGGTGTCAAATTTCACAGAAAGACAAGACAAAGGAAAATAAAATTTGAAGCTTTTTCTTCAAAATTAACGCATTTCTTTCGTTTTTTTCAGTTTTAAGTATTTTTTATGTTTAATTATAATTAATTAAAAGTTGATCGGGAACTGAGGGGTAATAAGTAATCTATACTTACTATACAGGGTGTATCAGAATGACGTTTTAAAAATTTGGAAGACTATAGAGGATGAAATTTTGAACGTTTTTGATATAAGGAACCCATAGAGGGAAATGTGATATAAAGTTTCTACAGCACTTTGCACTTTGCAGTCGGTATGCTGAATGAAACAGCAGAATACAGTATTTATGAGAAGTTTTATTGAAAAAACAGTAGAGTACAATCAAACTGTACATCGAATCAGTGGTTGCACTACTTTAGAGTAAATGCTCAATGTGACGACCACCAACTTTGTTACATAACAGAAAATCCAACAGTGTTATAGGGGGAAAACTTTATAAGATGGCACGCTCCCCTCTGATGGTATTAAATGCCATAAAGATGCGCTCCGTAAGCTCATGAACTGTTCCTACAGGTGTTGCGTACACAAGAGACTTTACATAACCACAGAGGAAGAAGTCAAGAACAATAACATGACGTCAATGGACGAAAAGGTAGCTACTAAAGTGAAGGGCGGTCAAGCACTTCATACGGTTTTAGAAACTTTATATCACATTACCGGCTATGGGTTCCTTATATCAAGACGTTAAAAATTTCATCCTCTACAATCCCCAAATTTTTAAAATGTCATTCTGATACACCCTGTATAAAGAGACAACATATTTTTCGTTTGTGACCACTGACCGTGAAAACTACTGAACCAATCGTTACTAAATTTTAACTGTAGCATTTTTATTATCTCCAGAATGTTTACCACTAATCAAACATACAGATTTGTTATTAATTAGATAAAACTGCAACGGATTTTTGTCTGTCTATTTCTCTCTCTCTTCACTAGATGGCGACACATGAATTAGTACTTTCTGTTTATAAGAAAAGTCGATTATTGAAGTTTACTACAATCAATCAATCAATCATTTTATTTTTACATGTAATATACATATATCCTGACCCCGCTGTGGCATTATCAGGAAAAACTATACAATAAGTTTAATTAATATTACAATATAAAATGTATAATACAGTATTAATTTATATATTATTTGTTATAACATAAGCTATACAGTTCAAGTTAGATATTGGTATATAATATTTCAATATATATATGTAATATATATAATACGTTATGAGATAATAGTAGAACCAATATTAATAATATTTACAATGTTTGTAACTGAATATATTCAAAAGATATGTTAACATACATGTTCAACATATATATTTAACAATCTTATATTTTAACGTAAAGTTGTGAATGAACACTCTCTTAAAAATAGTTATTATTTCTGGTTAAATATTAAAATTCCAACTACTTACATTAATAATATAAATTACTATATTTATAATACATAATTTCAATGCTACTAAAATTATTAATATGCAATTAGTCTGTACAGATTAGTATTCCAATACTTTAACTATACTTATAGATTTATTTTAAATTAATACCAGTTTCCAACTGTAGTATTCTTAATTAATAAAATACATGTTGAAAATCACTGAAGATAACGTAAAGAAGTTCATAACTACCAGTCGTTGGTAGCATTAATAGTTCTATATGTATCAATAATTCACACTAATCTCTGTCTTCAATTCTTATCTTCAATTTGTATTTCCATGTCCTCTGTGAGTAATAAAACGTATGTGGTCACTTATTGTCATATTAGTATTTTCAGTCCTCCCTGTGTTTGCATCATTTCTGCAGTTAGTGTTCAATGATCACTCTATAAAGTTCTTGTTTTCTGTCTGTAGTCTATTCACTTGCAATGTTTCATCTCCAAGTTGACTTATAACAAAGCAATAGTAGATCACTGATTAATGAATAGCCAATAACCTAATCATTATACATAATTATAGTTTCACTATTTCTATAAGTACCAATGATATTATTAATTTACTATTAATCCATATGTAGCACTCTAAGCCTACTGAAAGTAACTTCAAATTATCATTAATTTAATATTAATTATTATCAATGCATGCATTCTTATAATAATTCTCCAGGAATAACCCTATTGCAATGCAGAAATGCTAGAGCAACTTGCAATAGCTATTTAAATATATATTAAATAAGTATTAAAGATTTGAATTCAGCTGATACAAATGAAGTCAAAAACTTTAATTATAAATTATCTGATTGGTGATTGTATAAATGCTCTCAGCAAGCTTAATAAAAGCATTGTAGACATTTTTGTTAACCCATATGTCACAAAGTTTACATGGCCATTGTATGCCGTATTCTTCCAGAATTAACTGCAATTCCAGCCTCTCTTTGCAGAACATAATGCAGTCATAGAAATAATGTTCTGGGCCATCAGTTATGCGACATGTAGGGCAGTTATCATCATTTCTGGTTGTAAAACGAGTTAGATATGAGGCATACTTTCCATGACCGGTGAATATTTGAGTAGTAATATGATTAGGTAGAAAATATTTAATAGAATAGAAGTATTTCAGATCAGGGATAAATTTATACGTGATGTGGGAACTGTTTTGATTCCATTCTTGCTGCCATAGCTGTATCGTCTCTTCCCAAATTAATCTTTTCAGGGTGTTAACACTTAGCTTATCGTATTCTATTGGTAAAATTGTATTGTCAGCAGCATACTTAGCCAAAGTATCGGCTCTTTCGTTGCCATAGACTCCCTGATGTGCCTTGATCCAGTAGATTTTAATATTGCACGTAGCAAGGCGTATTGAGTTTCTTATATCCTCCGCTAAAGGGTGTAATATATTGCTATATATAATATTGTATGCAGAACGTGAATCTGTGTAGATGTTTATTGCAATATTATTCTGAGTTTGCATAGTCCATGCAATTGCCTTTTTAATAGCGTAGAGTTCAGCTTGAAAGATAGTACATCTTTCGTGTAATCTTATAGCTTGACTATGTACTTCCATCTTATTGATAAAAACAACAAAAGAAGAGCCAACCTTGCCGTCGTGTCTTGATCCGTCTGTATATATATCCATATCCTGGTTATGTGTATCAAAGTTATCGTGCTCTAATGAGATAATGTAATTATTGGTTTCCCGAAAAGAATAAGGCCACTCTACATCATTATGCTGGATACTTAAAGTATCAACTTGTATGCTTTCTCCCTTTTTTGCCTGCTGTATTTTACTCTTTTGTTTTATGTATAGATCCAGCGGTGGTTTCCTGGCTATGACCTGTAGGCTTGTATTACTAGCCGTACGGTAAGCTTTAGTTATTAGCATTAGGGCTCTTCGTTGCGAGGATATTAATTTTCTTTTTATATGAACCCTTTCTGCCGCCCGGCTCCATGTATTACTAGCGTAGGATATTATGGGTAAGTAAATACTGTCATAAATTATAGACATCGCACCAGTGGAGAGGCCCCAGTCCCGTTTGGCCACTTGGGCGAAGGATTGTATTATTAGACCTGTTCTATTGGTAACATATTCTATGTGTTGTTTCCAACTGAGTCGATGGTCAAGAACCACTCCAAGATATTTTAAGGTCTTATTTACTTTTACCTTATTATTATTCATTTTAATTGTAGGCGGACTTAAAGTTTACTACAGTAGAACCTCGATTATCCGGACCTCTATTATCCGGATTTTCGATTATCCGGATTGTTCAAAATAAACGAAAATTTTACGAATTTGCTGATTTGCACTTGGTGAATTACGACACTGTTTATGTACTGTACGTGATGGAATGCATAACTTTTTTTTGTTTCAACAATGTCTTGTCCAGCACAGTGGTTGTAAACTCTTAAATATATTTAAGTCGTAATAAAAATATAACGACATACGTATTTATAAATAATTTATATTCAAATTACATCATTTCTGTGACCAAGGGCGGCGTAAGGCATGGGTGATGTGGGCCACCGCCTATGCCTGGCAGTTCGAAGGGCCTCATGCCTCGAAGGTTTATGCATTACTTGATTAAAAGTCGCGAGTGCGACGAAAATATTTTACTCGTCACAAAACAATAAATAGTTTGTCAAACTTTTATTCATAAAAATGCAGTTTCATCTGCTTTTTATTTTATAAAATCCGTCTTCTTGCGCCACCAGAGGACCTTTTAAACAATAGATAGTCTGTTAGTACTGGTCAGTAGTGGTCCAAATTCAATACGAACGTTTGTTTCTTAAATATTTGATTACGATTTAAATACAGTATTTATTTTTAATATTACCGATATGTCATCAGAAAAGAAACGTGTTGTATTATCATTAAAAGACAAATTAAAGTATTTGTTTCGATTATCCGAATTTTTCCTTATCCGGACTACCTTCATTTCCAATTAGTCCGGATAATCGAGGTTTTACTGTATTATATTTGAAGAACTGACATTAAATTATAATTAGTTAATTAGCAAAATCTGAGAGGAATTAAAAAGTGACGTCATCATGCTAGATGGCAATATGTGTACTTATGGCGGGTTTTCGAATCATTACGCGTTAATTTCTGCAGGTGATTGTACAAAATATTCGAAATAGTTATTTGATTTATTACACGTGAATATTTTTGAGATTGATTGATAAATAATGCCGAGAGCTGCGGGAGCACGAATAGGAAGAAACAGTTCTAGAGCTATTATTGTTCATAATTGTAGACAATGTGAATCTACAGCAGAGTGGTCTCAAAGACTGGAAGAGCAACAAATTCATTCGGCTCAGAATCGAATGCGTATAGCGAAGAATTTTTTAGGTTTCAAATCAGCTTTTGATTATCATCCTAAAAATGACAATTTGGATATGAAACAGTAAAATGATCAAAATATGTGATCATTGTTTTGAAAAAAAAATGGTATGATGAAACTACTAGACTTTGCTGTGCTGCGGGGAAAATTGTTCTTGAACAACTTGAAGAACCTTCTGATTTCATTAAAAATTTAATTTTAGGAACAGATCTTTCTATACATTTCTTAGACATTTCTAGACAGTACTGTGCAACGCTCTATTTCAAATGACATCATTTGGAGCCAAAGAAATAAGACAAGGGAATTGCATGTCTACATTTAAAATCCAGGCTCAAGTTTATCATTTGATTGGCAGTTTACTTCCTGATTTAGAAGACACTCCTAAATTTTTACAGATGTATTTCATGTCTGAATTTGACCAGATATTAGCCTGATCCAATATAAACCCAACTTTGAAAAGAGAAGTCATTGAAAGATTGCAGAAAATCATGCAAGATAATAATAATCTTATTCGGAGTTTCAAAATTACAATGAGTTTCCACATACAATGTGGATTATCCACAAATAATTAATGAACAATTAGTTCAAATTTTCGAAGTTCTATATGTAAGCTATATAAGAGCGGGTGAGACCGCGACAGGGGATGTTAGTACTATACAAAGTTATTTGATGCGTTACCTTATAAATTGCTTAGCCTTAGAAACTGCGTTTCCATTAATGTGTAATTGACACGTAGTGTCAAAGATCCAACATTTTTGTCTAGATTGTGTTTTATTTAATAACTTTAATAATTTTATAACAAATTTAATTCTATCCACGACATCAAATTCAATTCCACACGAAGAAATGAAACTTTAGCCAGAAATATCTGCTACAAAGTGGAGAAATACGTGTATGTTTGAAAAGTTTCTGATGGAAGAAGTTAACAAGTTCGTCCTAATAGTGTACAAAAAAGGACAAAGAACAAGGATACTTTATACGTATTTTTTACTTAAGTTTATACTTATTGACTCTAATGAAACATTTTTAACTGACTTGTGAGTTAATTTTACATCCGTGCAAGACAATTCATCGATTAACACATATCATTATTCAGCACGTTAAACATTATTTTCAGAAGTCAAAGATTCCGAAATTTGGATGAAGAAGAGACGATTAAAACAAGAAAATCACAAGAAATAAGTTGAAGTGTCATTTTTTTTCGATTTGGTTTTATTGGCATACGGTAACGCGACATGTGGACGTTCTACCAATGGGTAATGCCTTTCGGAAAGTAGTTTAAGAAAACGTGGCACTTAAAGGTGTTATAATTGTAAAGAAAACTTGAAAAATCATTAAGTGGCCAGCCTGTCAGCGAGGCGCGAACCCACGACCAACTACTAGTCTTTAGTAGTTTTATCCACTTGGCAATTAATTAATAAATGTCATTTCTTTTTCGTGAACACCAGTCATTTACATACAAAATATATGTGACGAGTTTATACAAGAAGTTTTTGTTATTTCTTATAATAATTTCTTTAGAACTTCTATGGATGCAATGATTCTGAAAAATGGAGGTTATCTCGTTATCTCGTCGCAAAGCTAGAGTTTTTGACTAGCAAAATAAAGATTTTTTTCTGTCCTTCAAAAAGAATCATGTTTGCTTTTTGATCGGTGTTGTGAATGCTCTAGGTCAATCACCTAAATATTTGCGTTGACTGAAATTTTGTTCTTCAGTATTTAATGGTTTTCAAGATTTGCTGACATGATTCATCTGCACATCTCATTTCTGAGTGTACAGAATTCTGCTCGAAATTTTTGTTTAAAGATCGCATTATAAATCAATCTTTTAAATTTATCATCAAACAAACACTTCACAACTTTATATTTTTTCAGAAAAACTATGACATGAATAATATGTTTTGTTTAGTAATGTGTCTAAACAGATATCCTTATTCATTTCTTTTCCAAAATTAATTTGGTTATAAAAGTATTAATTTTAGTTAAAATCTCGTTTTCTGTTATTAAACTTTCGTTTAGTATTATTCAATAATTTTCAGCATAAGTACACTGGAAAATAATACATATAGGGATTTCTAAAATATGTGCTATCTTAAATTTTGGTTTGTTTAGGTCTAACATCAATCTCAATTGTAACCTCATTCATCTGTTCACCTGCTGCATTATTATAGAAAACTAAATAAACAAGTGCGAAAAAATTTGAGATTGCAGCAAATGCAATCTCAAATATTGTTATCTTCTACCTGTCGAGAAATGCTTTGAGCTGGAACATTTTCTTTTGTCCTTACAGGTAAGATACACTATTACATGTGAACTTGGTTTAGAGTTGCAATGGGTCGTGTAAGGGATTTATTACCGTTTCATCGTGGACAGATTGTTTGAGCAAGAACAATAGGTCACTCTATCAGCGTTTGGCCAATGCTTTCGCAATTTTCTCGTGCAATAGTTTTAAGGATTTATTAGGAATAGTGAAAACAGAAACATATGTGGGTAGCCTGAGGTAGGACGAAGTCGTACCTCGTTCTGATAGGCAACAGTTGGGTGAGAACTGCCCACTGGTCAGTGGATGGCTTGGATAATGTTTTCTCTATCCCGTAAAGTCGGGATTCTTTTGTCAGGTCGAGTGGAGGAGGTGAGAGGGGTCGTCGGTAAAGCGTTAACGATACTCGAAATGAAGACGACTTTTTAATAAACAAACAAACATTTATTTAGACAACATAATCCTAACATACAAAGACTACCTACTTGTGCGTTATTCGAAGGGACCGCGCCGAGAGAGAGTGTACAATATTGGGTCATACCTCGGATGAATTTTCGGTCTATGTCTGGCTTGAAGGGTTTACTCGGGTCGAGGCTCTTGATCGGGTAGGTATGCGGTCGTATCTCGGGAGCGTCCCAGGGTTCGTCGGCGAGGCGGTCGGGTGGCGTCCTGGATCTGGGTAAACGAAATCGACCCCCCTTCCGTGCGGCACCTGGTCTTTATACCTTCGGGTCTCGTGGTCGGGTTTCACCAATCATGGATTTTTTCCAAAAGATGTCCGGGTGATTCAGTTTTGGGTTCCGTTGTGAAAGGAAGTTACTCCGGGGCACGGAAGGATAGATTTCCTCCCAGGGAAAATTTTAACACAAAGAAAAACTGAGAGTTTCGATGTTAATAATAATTGATTGTTTAATATCAAACATTTTATTTTTATTAACTCGGTCTATTTCTCACACATATATTTTTATAGTTTAGAGTAATTTATGATATTTCTAGAAAGACAACCAGGTCCCTAGATCTCTAACGGACATCTTCGAGTTCCTCGCCTTTGTTAACGACGATTGTCTTAAGCTTGTGGTAAGTCGCCATGTTCAAATTTAGATTTTTTACTTTCATCGGTTTGAATCGGAGCTACGCTAATTCAATAGTTTGCTAAAAAAAATGTATGTCAAGATATTACTTAAGTATTACTAGTCATTATACAAATCAAAACGAATGGACATTTTATTAACTTATTTGTACATAATGCAGTTTAACGCATTAAAAAACAACCTTCTCTTACAATGTATTTATTTAAAAACGAGCAGTTATTTATTGTGACATGGACACAATGCGGGAATCCAATTTTAATCATATTTTTAATCTATTTAATTTAAAATACATGCTCTTCGCCTCAAATTAGTAATGGCTTACCCCTGTACATCATATTTTTCCTTTATCAATAGATCGTAGATTTCCTTTATCGTGCCAGTCATCTATCTAACACTTTTCAGGGGAAAGATTTCATCTATCTAACTTCTTTCTTGTGATTTAGAAATGACAGACAGACAGACAGTCGGACAGACGACAGTGGGAATTCACAGCTATACAATTT